ATGGGCTCTAGAAACACGTTTAAAACAATAGTCCATATCACAGAATTAATTTTTATTATTTTTCATGTTGATATCACCTCTTTGACATTCTGTAACCTTGATAAGTCTTCTAATCTTTTATTGCTTCCTATATGTCTTTGTTTGAATATTGTTTTCCATGTTCATATATATCTCTTAATGATGACCCAGAAGTTTTCAATTAGATTAATATCTACACAGAGGATTCTATTTGGTATCTTTGAAACCTTTTTTTGGCAAGGTGGGCAATAGTCAGCTTTGCAGAATGTGAAGGAATATTGTCTTGCATTAATATTATCTTTGAGTGGTACTGGTCACAATCAAGAACTTTTTAAAGTTCTTGATTGTGACCAGTACCGCTCATAAAACATTGTTTAAGGACTTAGAATCATTCTTTGCATTCTTCTTGATACCGCCATCAATTTTGAAGGGACCTAGAAGTTTGCTGCTTACAATATTAGCCCCAAGCAGTACTCCACCTCCTTGTCTTCTATGGCATGTTGATTGACTTTCCATGAGGAACCCAACTTCTAACTCAACCATAGCCCTACTTGATCACTAAAACATTCTGATGAGAAATCGGTTTTCATGCACTTGTTTTTGCTCAACTTACATGTTTCTTTTTGTAATGTTTAGTTCTAGTTTGGCTAAAAACATGAAAGTAACTAATGTTCCTAATATGTCTTTTATTTGCAGATTCTTCAAATATTTTTCTTTCTAATCAATCCACATTATTTTGCTTATTAATTTTAATATTTTTCAAATCCTTTTGGAACATTATTAAAGCCAGCTTTTTCTTATTGTTCTTATTTTGCCAATGTTTTCAATTTATTTTTGAATTATTCTATGATCCTTACACAATAAATATCTTCTTTCTCTTGAGATTCTACTTTCCTTTATACTCACAGAAATTTTTATATAGCTAAAATTAAGAAATAAATATCAGTAATTAAATATTTATTTAGATGATTATTATTAAGATAATATTAAAAAAATAATATATAACAATTGGTAAGACAAGTTTTTAACATTTTTATTTGTTTACTGTTTATTTAGATATAAATATTTTTATTAGAAATATGTACAACTTATTTGGTGTGATATTTTTATCATGCAACTCACTTGTTGTTCATTATATTGAAATTCATACAGTATTCTTTCTGTGATGACAATTTTTTTTTTTACCCTAATTTGTTTCAAATTTTGAAAGTAATTTTATGTTGAAGAGGTTTACAAAAAAGTTAATACATACTTGTCTACTTTGGAATAAAATTTGAATAATTAACTCATGTTTACCAAAATGAATCATTGTATGATTTTCATGATCAGGTGGCTATTATAATTTATAAAATGATTAAAAAAATTCTCTTTGAAAATGAAATTTTCCATTTTGCAATTAGCTAACTGTAGTAGAATGTTTTTGTTTTTTTTTTTTTGTATTGTTTATCCCTTGAATTTCTAGCCACTTAAAATCTATGTCTATTGAAAACTCAAAGTATTGAAAGGAAACTCTCAGGGTATCAGTTTAGCAGAACATGGAATTTTATTATCATGAATGATATTAAAAATATATTTTTAAACCAGAATACAAACATGTTTATTTGAGCACTTGTAAAATCTTGAAAATTCAATTTTTAAATTATTTTTTAAAAGTCAGTAGTGTAATTTCAGTTGAGACAATAGTAAAAAACTATGTTGACATGTTTTACTGATAAAGCAGTGTTATCAGAACAAATTTTATTTCAGTAGTCACAATATCCAGTAAATTAATAATGGCTTTATTTCTAAATGTTTTCAAAAAATTCAGTTTCTTGGAAGAGTGTACTCAGAGCAGTTCTTGTTTGAGAAAGTTAAAACATGTTTTGGGTGGATAGAATTATGGAGTTGCTTGAAAGATGGCAGAATATATAGTTCATGCCAATTTTTTTTTTTTTTTTTTTTTACTGAATAAACCAACCAAACATTTTGCCCAACTTGATATTACATTTGCTTTACATTCTTTGCTTTTGTATTTTATTTCCTTAATCATAGAATGATCTATAAGATACTGAACACTGATATTTTCTTAAGTTATATTTCTACTACTCTATTATGTAAAACGCTTTTTCAATCTCTTTATTTCATTTTTTTTCACTTGTTTCCACATTAATTTATTCATAAAAATTCAGAAAACAAGATATAAAAGATTGACATTGAACTCTATTTATTGTATGAACAAAAAATTCACAATTAGATTAATTTAGAGAAAACATCAAAACAGAAACGAATATTGACAATTTAAATAATAGTCGTTATTTCAGTTAATACAACAGATTATTCCTTTTTTTCTCTCCATCTTTTTCACAAATTATGACATTGTATTTAGTAAAGCTGCTTCTGGTTAATTTTTATTATGTAATTTCCAAAGTTTTCAATATAACAAAAGTTGTCTGCTATGAGAACAACTATGCCTAACTATTTCAGACTTACCTATTTGCCCGTAATTGTGTTTATTCAATTTTGTTAATAGGAGCAAAGTACCAATGGTGCATTTATCATTACAGTTGACAAAGATTTCCCACAAACACTTTTCCCAATTATCATTTTATGGAGCTTTTATTTTAAATTTATTTTAAAATATCTCTATTGTCCTGCCCTCTTTGTGTACAGGGCTGTGTAATGTGTGCTTGCATATAGACCCACTTTATTCATATGATTAAAGGTCCATTGACTGGTATAACGTGTGGTTAGAAAAATGTCCTTTACTGATTGCTTTACAAATATATGCAAGGCTTATGAAGCCTACTTTCTGTACCCTAATGGGGGAAGAGAGTAGAAAAGGATTAAGTTAGGAAACATGAGTGGTGTGACCAACCAAATAGAAGGGCTTTTCAAAATGTAGACTCATAAAAACCTGTTATTATTCAGATGGTAAAGGGAGTCATAGATTATGAAATTTTGTAGTGTTTGATTGGACACAAAAATAAAAGGTTTAAGTCATAGATTTTTATTGCTCAACAACAGCTGTTTATGAATACTCTGTTCGCAACACAGCATTTTTGATTATGAAATAAGTGTTGATGTTAATATTCAGTGCCCAAGGAAATTCTATAAAGTTTGCACACAAAAAATTTGAACCGAAACAACTTACCAAATGATTTATAACTACTAGGTACTAAATGGTTAGTTTCTTGTTCTCCTCCAGAAAGTACCTAACTGGTGTTACATTTACAAGAGTCAGATCAGACCAGCCTTGACAGCGTTCAAAATCATTTATATTGCCTTATGGGGAATTAATTATTTTCAACCCTGAAATTTCAAGGTTATTGCTACTCTCAGTTTTCATGGCAAATGTTCAGACAAGCTAAATTCCTTAGTTCCACTTCTTGAAATCTTTACAGCTAGGATACACCATGCCACATACATAGGGTCAAATCATTGTCATCGTCATTCTCTTCATGTTCAATGGTCAGAAGGAAGTTCCACTCAGACATCTTCTTTCCCATGAACTCTCACTTTACATCCAAGAGGATGCTTCCTTGATCACTACAATCTTAACCTCTACAAGTCTAATTTCATCTAATATTTATTCTAGACAACCTCATAATCTCCTCTTATGTTCATACAAGAACCTCCTTCAATAACTATCTACCTTAAGTGGTTATTGAGCCTTGTGTTGAGTGAACATTTACTAAAAATTAATAAAAAGGTTTATTACATTGTTAACTTTAGTTGTTGACTTTGTGTGTACTTACCTATGGCATCTATATCAATTTTTCGTTTCTGTCTATATTTCTGTGATATTTCTGATTATGTACACTATTTACATTATTTGGACTATTGTCTTCATCTTTGTTCCCATATTTATCACAACGTTTCAGCCGTTGTACACTCCGGCCTTCTTCAGGTGGTTGGAATGTTGAACTGAAACCTTTTATTTGTTGGGGTAGACTGTTGCACATGCCATGTCTAATGGATATCAGTTATCTCCTGTTAATTCCCTTCTCCAAGTGCTCCACTGTCTTAACCAAGTATTGAACTCGCACTCTTTTGGGTCCTGTCACTAACTAATGCATTTATCCACTGTGTCATGTGTCCTTGAGGACATCTGTGTATAAATTTCTAGGTATTATAACCCTAATGTCTTCAGCAAACATTTTTTACCAGTGCTCATATTGCAATTTTTTGCTGTTATCATTGCATGTTTTTTTACCAGAGCTCATATTGCAATTTTCGTTCTTATTATTGCTTTTCTCTGGCACTCCTTATTACTGATTCCCATATTGTATTCATTTCTATGCTTAGTCGGCTCAGGAGATTTTTGTGGTCTAGCAAAAAGGAATCAGCATAAATGCCAGGATAAAGGTGTTAGTTAGATCCAGTGACAGATCCCAGAGTGTGAGTTCAATACCTGGTTAAGGAAGTGGAGAACTTGGAGAGGGGAATTAACAGGAGATAACTGATAACTGATATCCATTAGACATGGCACGTGGAACTAAAACAGTCTACCCCAACGAGCAAAATAAAGGTTTCAGTTCAACATTCCAACCACCTGAAGAAGGCCTGAATGTACAACGGCTGAAACATTGTGATAAATATGGCAATAAAGATGAGAACAATAGTCTGAATAATGTAAATAGTATAAATTTTTGTTTTCAGTTGGAAGAGAATTTAGACCCATTCAAAGCCACTGTAGTTATTAAAGCTAAGCTTAGTCTGGCACAAGGCTATAATAAGTAGGTTATCTATTGAGGTTTGAGCTTGTTACAGTAGGGAATAGGTCTTTGATATACAGGCACTTGAAACAGTTTAATGTTCATCTTAAATTCCAGTTCTCCAAATCTTCCTTTGATATCAAAAACTCAAAATTAATGTTCTTTTATTTTAATTGTCAGCTGGCTAATATATTTATAATGATCTCTACAACATTTTTTATCCTATTTTCTTGTGAAAATATTGGACTATTGAAAATGTTCCTTAACAAATGATTTTATATTTTTCAGCTGGATGCCTTATTGGAATTATCTTGTGATTCAAGAAAAAGTAGAAACTAAAGTTTGAAAGGAAAGTTTATCTATATTTGAAACACATCATGTCTAATCAACCAAGGGTAATTGATCCATTATTTCATTTTGAAACCCATTTTCCTGAGCGTATTTCGAAGCTTCACTTGAATCCTGAATATCCAGCGGCTCACAGGCGTACGAAGAAATGCCGTGCTCGAACTGGAACTCGCTACAAGACTCAGCCAATCACATTTGATGAAATTAAGGAAGTTGATGAAGAAAACATTGAACCTGAATCACAAAAAGAGAATTTACGTGGACAGTTTCAAGCATTTTCTCGTTCCATGGATGGATTAGTCCCCAAAGTTCCCCAACAACAAGGGGACAGCACTACAACCCCCACCAACAGCAGCACACCGCCACTTCCTCCTCACACAAAGTCCTGTTTAAAAAAAAGACCACAAGTCATATCTCCCCTTGCTCGTGAACCTGGCCCTAAACCACGAAGAGAGCGCTCTGCATCAACTACAGAAGCCAGTACACAGACATTCTTTACTGACTTGGATAAAGGTAGTAGCAGTGTTATGTTTGTTACAGACACCACCAATATGGATAACCACTCTGATACTAATGTTGAGGGTCATATGACTTAATAAGGCTTTCAGTATGTACACATTTATGATTTTCCAATGTTGCCATGAACAAGAGGAGAACACATTTATTTTCTGCCATAATGACTAAAAAGTTGAGGAGTGAAATCTTCAAGTGATATAGAACACAGTCGTCTCCCTGCAAGACAGATGAAGCCCAGTTAGTCACTTATCTCTTTAATGACTAATGCTAGCTTTTACTATTGAAATTCAGCCATAGGAGTTGCCTTATTTTCTGAAAGAATAAAAAATGATTTAAAAAGAATGACAAGGAAACTGTCCTTACATTATTTAAAAAAAAAAATAACATTAAATTGACATCAGCAAAATTGAATTCTAAAATCTACACAACACAGTAATTGAAATTGTGTGTGTGTGTGTGTGAGTTCTCCCAATATTCTGATTCCTACAGCGTTTGCTGCTGTTTGAATCATAGTCCAAGAAATCTACAAACAGTTTGTTTAATTTCCATATTATGTGAATGTTGTTCTACTTAAATGTTAGAAAGTAGAAAATTGTGTTAATTCTTCATATTTTCTCTTGTTTTATTTTCTGAAAGGAAAATTAAGCTCTTATGGCAAGTCTTTAAATATTTATTTTCCATTATGTTTAAATGCAGTTAACTTCTCCAGTTGATGTTATACAGGAGAATATCAACTGCTTCATTAGGCAATCTTTTCAGTTCAATATTTGTCCTTTACTATTCTGTATCCAAATCTAATGATTTGTTTACTTCAAAATTGGTTCTTGTTGAAAACATATCTGAAAACTTTAGTTGGCATCAACAGCAAAAATATTCATATTGTTACTTTCATTTCTTTTCTTTCTTTAAGCAGTTTTGTTTATACCAAACAATTGGTACATTCAATTAATAGTTGATAAAATTAGTTTGATTTTTGAATCTTGAGGTAAATAAGTTAACTTTTTGAGCCACAAAAAAATTTTTACGCAAGTGTAACACTTATCACAGTTGATATTCCAGCTTTTCTGACCAGAAATTTAGAAAAGCATGATTTTGTTGATAATGTTGGCATTATATTATGCTAACTTTTACCTTTGAACAGAGATGGTAGGAGAATGTAGCCTTTGGGGTGGGCAAAATTTGTAAATGGGTATAAATTACTGTCCTTAAATCAACTTGTTGCGCATCTATTTAATTCTGTTAATTTTACTTTGTAGAAGATCTAAATCACCCACAAAAGAGGCTTTCTTATACTCAAGCCAAATTATAGCACAAATGAAGCATAAGTGTTAAACTTTGTAAAATATTTAGTGAGAATAATTTCTAAACTTGCTTCATTCTTTACAAAATCCATTTCAATGATTTTTATTGCATGTTTTTATTGTATCTTCTTTTCTGCACTGTCCACTTTAAAATTCAATTTTTTTTTTTCCTTACAGCTGTAGCATTTATTTTTCCAGACCTAAAATTTCCAACGTTAATAGCAAAAATTTAGAAATCAATAAAGTTTTATTCTGTTAAATCTATGCTGTTATATCCTCTATAATTTCAGTGTGTTCAGTATTGGAAAATGTGGAAAATATAATTTTATAAATTTATCTGTAATAAATGTTTTCTGTTTTAACCTGCTAAAACAGTTTATAGCATTGATGTAAAAATTTAGCATGCTATTCAATAAAATATATTTAATTGTTTTTTGTTGTTACTGTTTTGTTATTTATTCTTCAGAGAAAATTTGATTTTTTTATTTTTATTTTTTTTTATTTTTTTTTTTTTTTATTTTCTGTGGTTTTTCAAGGAAAATTCATTAAAAACTGATGAGTCTCATATTTGCACCACATAAAAACAGCCAGAAGTGCAATTTGATAGTAGGGCAAAAACAGATTAAAAGTATAACATACTGAACTTTCTATAAAAACAGTATCCATTGGAGATACATGCCCAAAACTTTACTAATTTGGGGATGAGGAAAATAACAAAAATGACATTTTCTCTATAATATGAATACCTTTTGTTGTATCTAATTTTAGAAAATTTTGTTAATTTGTTTCATGAAATGAATCGGTGGTCAATCCTTCAAACAAATGCTTATTAGAAAGATTTAATCTCATTTATCTTCAAACTAAAAACACTGAAATTAATAAAAATATATTTGAAACTGATGAAGAAGTCTTTCTGGACAGACTGGTCCTTCTAGATTTTCTCTTCTAATGGTGATTTGTGGTGATTTTCTCTTCTAATTTGAATTTGTTAATAATCCTCAATAGTCTTATAGCCAATATTCCTGGAATACTCCATATCCTATGATCACTTGAAAGCGATATATCAAAGTCCCATCTAAAGACAAATGTTGACACCACTTGTGCAATATCATTAAAGGCCATCAATATAATAATTTCTTCCTTTGGTTGGAAAATTTTGATTACAGCCCTGGATGGTGTTGTAATATCAATTACTTGGTCAATGTAAAAGTTGGAGTAATAGTATAATATGGTGCTCATAACTGAAGGTCTTTTGATGTGGTTGTTCTTCCCCACAAATGCTAGAATTGTTTGAATGCTCAGATGCACTGAGTGCCTTTTCTTTCTTCCTTTGTCCCTTTAAAAAATGGAGATGAATTTCCATTAAAAGTTATAGCAATGAAATGTCTATTTCCTTCATCTCGGGTTTTGAACTTTACCAAAATGTTAAGGTCTTCTTCGGCCTACTTTTCCCACTTAGAAGAAAACTACTTCCCAGGATGTGTAGTTCATCATCCACTGAACAGAAGGTTAAATGTAAATTTTAGTAAACACACTGGTAGAAGTCTCTGGCATGGAAAGCATTAATATATAATAAAAGAAAATGAACAGATACCTGCTTAAAAAAAAAGATATTTTGCTTATTATCTTCTATAACAGCTCAAAGAAAGAAGAAATTCCGAATAAGGTAATGCGTGTTTGCAAAAGTTGAAGAACTATGTGATGTATCAATTTCTTTTTTATTAAGAAAATGTAACAATTTCATTTTAACCTCCAATTAGTAATGAAATAATGATTTAAAAGAAACTGATTACATTTTGAAAATTACCTAATCATATTTCAATTTTTTTTATGGACACCATGCACAAAAGTTAAGCTAAAACATATCTAGTTCATTTTTATTTTATTTTATATAAATGTATCAAGAATTAGAAAAAATATTTCCAGCCAGGCATTCCTGGAAATAAATGACCATTCAAAGAAAAACTGAACTTGCTTTTTTTTTTTTTTAAATGTGAGTGCAATATATAATATTACAATATGAATTTAGTTTAATGAATGTTTAAGAAAATTAATAAAAACAACAGCTGAGTTGAAAGTGATTCGAGTGTGGCAGTTTGGACAAAATACAATTAATAAATACTTTATATAGTTTTGAAAATGAATCATTAAAGAAAATATAAAAGATTTAAACTAATATGCATCAATGAAACAAGTCTGATTTAAAATGGGGTTCAGCCAGCAATGTTCATTCACTTGGTTGGCAATACAAGTTTCAATATGTTCAATATATTAAATATGTAGGGAGACACAACTTGAAGTGCAACAAGTTTTTAAAACACCATTATGAAAATGCAGTAAAACAAATGGTCTTCGTTGAAATAATGACAATTTAGAGATGTGGAATAAAAACTAATCATCACACATTAGAAAGAATTACATATTTATAAAGAGAAAAGATTAAAGTTTGTTTGCATACTAAAACAATGAAAATAGCCTAAAAAGTAAACAAGATACCAGCAGTTGACATTGAAGGAAATTTCACTATTTTGACATGTTTTCACAGTTTGGGATACCTATTAGAATTGTTTCATAATTCTCTTCATGTAATTGGATTTGTTGTATTTTCAGTTTTTTATTACCTGGGTGATTAAGATTTCCATGAGATGTTCAGTTTAATGATAAAAGGTTTTAATTTCCTTGAAATTTTTTACTCATGTGGTGACATTTTACTGCAATAGTGCATAATGGATATCAAATATGTTAAAGTCTCTAATGCATAATGCTTATTTACAAAAGTAGCTAATGTTAAAATTTTAAAGTGAAAATTGATGGCTGATTTGATGCAATAGTAGAATGATAGATTTGTAGGTTTCAAAACTTGTGATTCAGGAAAACTTATTACCCTAACGGGTTTCTTGCCTAGGATGCAGTAGAGAATTCTACTATAATATATAAAAATACACTAGGGTTTGCTATAATGAATTGAAATATAATTTTTAGCCTATGTTACTTCTAAAAAGTGCACTTGCATATTTAGTGTACTGGCCTTGCAAGCCTTGAAGAATGAATACACTCTTTACAATATATGAGAAATGACCTTTTGTCAAATCTTCAAAAGGTGATAATTACGAGAACAGTTTTAGTTAAATGTCTTTTTTCCCCAAAAACTTTTGTTTGATTTCAGAATCTTTAAAGCAGCAAGTAACTTTCCTACTTGAATAAAATCTGATTACTTCTAAAATTGTATCTATCTCTGACTCTTAAACTTTAAATTATTCAAAGTGTGAACAATTTATACTTGGATAGTTCTTGTTTGAATTTTGTTAGACAAAGTTTTTGCATATCAGGAATGTTTGAGCTACAATCCTCCTCCCCATGTTTTGGCCATGTACCCTCCAGCCTTTGTTGGGTATTCTGTTGTGTATTGGAATGTTGTCAAATTTTGTTCTGGAGGAGTGTCTTCATCACCTCTCATATCTCATTATGGAGGAGGATCTACATGTTCCCCCAGAAGAAGAATCAACATTACTGAACCTACAAGATATTCAAGAAAGGTTGGAGAATACAGGAACAAAACAAATAGGAAGTTAGTCCAAACAAACCACATAAAATGATTATACTTGTCTGAATTTCCCACACAAGAATACATTGTTTGCTTCTCATTATTGGAGGAAAGACTGAAAATACAAATATGTCATATTCTGTAAACTTCAAACAATAGGGTTTTTTTTTTTTTTTTTTATCCACTAGTGCATACTTTGATTTCTTCTACCTATCTTGTCTGAAGTACTTTTTCG